GGTTAGAGATAGTATAGGTGTTAGCTTTGATTTGAGTAAAGCTTTCGATCGTGTTCCTCATGGAGTCCTTTTAAATAAGTTGAAATCTGTTGGGATTGATGGCCACCTACTAAAGTGGTTTGCTTCTTATTTGGAAAATCGCCATCAAAAAGTTAAAATAGGAGGTGTGTTTTCTGTCGCAAGTCCGATAACATCTGGCGTGCCCCAAGGTTCCATCGTTGGCCCCTTGTTATTTCTAATTTTTATAAGCTCAGCCCACCACTCTATCCAATCTCTCCTCTATGTATGCAGACGATCTTTTCTCGGTAACATCTTTTGAGAGAAACGAGAATCCGCTTGTAATAAAATTACTCGTACAGGCGGAGATTGATCGTATTTCGAACTGGTGTGAGGCCAATTTTATGTCCTTGAACCCCGAAAAGTGTTCATGGACTTATTTCTCCGTATCAGTCGATCCTCCAGCTGCTCTAAGTTTCAACATTGCTGATGTTCCCATTCTCTATGAGGATTCTCCGGAACTGTTGGGTGTCTATCTTTCTCAAGATCTCCAGTGGAAGACACATATACAAGAAACTGCATTATCTTGTCGACGAATGTTAGGAGCGATAAATCGCGTCTTCCACGCTGCGCCCAGCTCTATTCGGCTTCATCTTTATAAAAGCTGTGTACTTCCAAAAATGGACTATTGTTCGTCCGTTTATGATAATATCTACTCTACACACTGCGAACCACTCGAAGCAGTACAGCGTCTTGCAGCTCGCATTATAGCGAACAAGTTTGACTATAATGTAAATAGTAGTGAGCTTGTTGAAAACCTTAAGCTTCACAATTTGAAAAGTCGCCGTCTCTATTTTCGTCTAGTGAATTTCTATCGAATCTACAATCATCTTTCGATATTAGATCCAGCTGAACTCATTGTTCCTCCAATCACTAGATTTTCTGCTCGATTTAATCATTCTTGTCCTGTTTCTGTTCCTTTTAGTAGTACAAAAACGGTTAGTTCCTCATATTTTTATACTACTCCTAAAGACTGGAACAAGCTTCCCCAATCGTTCATGTATGTCCCTACTATAAAAATGTTTAAGAGCAATTTAAAGTTGCATCTAAATCTATTTTAAGTCTTGTTTTTTGCTTTTTATTTTTATTCTTTCTTTTCTTTTTTTTTTTTTTTTTTTTTTTTTTTTTTTTTTTTTTTTGCCTTTTTTGGTTTCCCGGGGTAAAAAAAAAAAAAACAAGTTGCGGGGGGTTTTGGGCGGCTGGGGTTTTTTTTTTT